TGAAGGCCTCCCCCACCATCCTTCCTGCTGTCAGCCAGCTATGAGCTTCATTCACTCATTCTTGCACTCAGAAAACCTCAACCAAGTCCTGTTGTGCTGGAAAAGTGCTAGGAGCTAGGGATCCCGTTGACCCACGTCTTCTCTGTATCGAGGCACTTGTGACCTCTAGGGTCACAATGCACGTGCCTGCCACCCAGTCCAACGCAGTAGCCCGAGCCAGACTGCCCGGGTCTGAGTCTAGGCGTCACCGCTTTCACTCTGCGGGACCCTAGGCATGTTTTCCAGCCTCTGTCACTCCATTTCCTCATCTTTGAAACGGAGATAGTAACTGTACCTGCCTCCTGGCTGCTGGGAGGATTAAATGAGCCGTGCTAGGTAAAGCACTCAGCGCCTTACCCAGCAGAGAGTAAGGGCTTCACAGCGTTCAGTAAAATTAGACACAAACTTCATGAGCACACAGCACTGCTAGAAGGCCAAAACTGCAAAAGACTATCATTTTTTTCTTGGTAACTGCTCTTTTTGTCAAAAAGGGGGAAGAAGAAATCCTGACGCCTCAGGATGTGGGAATGAAACCTAAGCCTGGTCCTGTCTGGCTGCTGCTGTTTCAACTGTTTCAACCGAATTGCTCTTCAGTGGAAAAAAGTTCCCAGACAGCGTGGCAGGTTACTCACACTGGCGCCTGGGCCCGGCCAACCCCTCCCTGTTCAGCGTTCAAATGGGTGTACATCTGGGGGCACCAGCGCCACCCCTGTCATGTGGCCTGACAGTGCTTGTAGCTTCTTCTGGAAATAAGCACCGCATCCAGTTAAAATCCACACAGAACGGCCTGCCGACAGAATCAGGGAGCGTTTGGCCTGAGGAAGGGGGTTTGGCTGGCTGTGCCATCAGACGTGACGTGAGATTGGAGTCATCACTGGATTTCAGTCCTGCTGGAACCATCCAGGCATTTACTCTCCCAACCAGAGATGCCTCGGCAGGTGGCATTCGTCTCCCAGATCTGTCTGGGCTCCAGAAACCAGGCCTTGCACACACGTAGAGGAGAGTGGCTAGGCCGTCATGACACAGCTTTATTTAGATGCTTCACAGGGCTATGGCCAGGGCTTTCAGAGGGAGGAAGCCCTGAGACTCCTGCAGGCCTTTAGGCCTGTCCCTTCCAGGTCTCCCCATGACAACCAGCCCCCTCACCTTGTGTGGTCCTCAGTGAAGCCAGTCCTCAGTGAGGGAGTACCAGTGCTTCTACTTTGGGTTAAATAACTTCCTCGGGTCATAGAGTTAGGGCATAGTGGAGCCACGATTCACCCCCAGATCCCTGGGGCTCCAAACCAGGGTCACAGACATGGCCCAGATTGCAGGCCAAATTCCCCTATCTTTTTTTTCTGTACAGTCCATGAGCTAAGAATGACTTTAGCATTTTCAAATGGTTGAAAAGATCAAAAGACTATTTCGTTACACCTAAAAATTCTATGAAATTCAGATTTCAATGTATGTTAATACAGTTTTTTTTGAGGGGGGACATGGCCATGGCCATTTGTTTGCATATTATCTAAAATATGCACAATATGCACAACACAGGCAGAGTCGGGTAGTTGTGACAGAGACTGTATGGGCTGCAAAGCCTAAAATATTTACTTTCTGGCCTTTTGTGGGAAAAGCTTGCTGATCTCTGCTCTAAACCTCTCTGTGGGCAGCCGTGGAGGGCTCCTGCCGAGGACAGGTGTGCATTAGAATGCATGGAGAACCCCACCCCTTGCCAAGTTCGAGGACAATATGGAGAAATATAAGGGTGTGTTACTATCTTCAGGTGAATGTAAAAACTGTTGGAAGGTTGGGAGGTCTCTGGGGGCATGCCACAGGGTTCTGTCCTCAGCCCCATCCTGTCAACACTCTTGTAGGAGCCGGAGTGAGGACGTGGGGCTCTGGTGGACCCAGTGGAGCGCTTTTGTTTCTTCTGCACAGGGCCCTGGTCTGATTCCCTTTCTCCCCATTCCTGGGCTCAGAGGTCAGTACATCACCATCTTCCAGTGGTGGCCTCTGGACAAGGGATGAGCCTGTGTCCAGATTTGGTCCAGTCAGACTGAAAGGAAGGACTGGTATTCCATGGTTGTTGGGGGAGGGCTTCTGTCTCTCCCCTCCCCTCCTTCCTTTCTCTCCTTCTCTCTCTGTCTCCTTCTCTTTGGACATGAACAGGGAAAAACATGGGGACTTCCCAGGTGGCTCAAGTGGTAAAGAACCTGCCTGCCAGTGCAGGAAGCATAAGAGACACGGGTTCAATCCCTGGGTCGGAAAGATCCCTTGGAGGGGGCATGGCAACCCACTCCAGTATTCTCTCCTGGAGAATCCCATGGACAGAGGAGCCTGGCGGACTACAGTCCACAGGGCTGCAAAGAGTCGGACACAACTGAAGCAACTTACCACACTCACAAGGAAAAACATACGCACAGGAGCCAGCTGCAGGTTTTCCGAGACAACACAGGGACGTCCTTAACATTGTGGGGTAAAGTGAAGAGCAGGAAGAAACCTCATCATGACAATAGGAGCTGCTTAAAGGTGCCCTCCAAGCCTGTCCTATTGCAAGGCTCTTGAGACTTCCTGCTGTAGATCTTAATTTCCCCTCTGGTTAAAGTCACTTCCAACCAGAATTTTCTGTTACTTGTGGCTGTTGTTATTCAAAGTCCAGGAGGCTAAAGTAATGACCGTCCACCTCAGGGGCTTGTTTAACAGGCTCGTTGCATGGACAGGGCTCTGGCTGTTTGTATCATGGCCAAGCCAGGCCGGTCCTCCAGGCTAAACATGCCTTTTAAGTGGTGTCAGTGATGTCCTTGGTCCACTGCCTCTGGAAACACTCCATGATGTGGCCTTACAGAAAGGCCCTCAGCTTGTCTGGGGCAGTGGTCTAGGCCCGGGATGTGACTTCTTCACGCTGAATTGTTATAAAGTGGGGAAAATAATGTTTAGGGACAGTAGTTGGGACTGTTCAACACTGTCTCATTTCTGGATGTCTGGTTTCATGAGGTTGATTGGTTAATAGAGCTATAGTTATTTTCTGGCTTGTATAGAAGGAAATCAATTTTGTATTTCTTCAGAACACACAGGAGTTACCTCCAAAGGGGATATGGGAATAGAGTGAGACCTTTCATTGGCCGGCGCTGAGCTGGGCTGGGCGGACTGCCAGGTGGCTGGCCTGGCTTTGATGCGTGCCGCATCCTGGGGGCTGTCGTCTATGTGTTCCCGGCCCCCGGCCCCTCTGCCTTGTGTAGAGAGAGGTTGGCAGAGGGAGACAGGACGGTGGTGCTGGCTAAAGCTGGACCAGGCCTGCGGCTTGGGTTGGCTGAGAGGCGACCACAGATGAATAAGGACCATCCAAACAGCTCTGGTGCCTGCCTGCTGCCGCCTCAGGAGGACAGTGGGCTCTGAGACTTCCGGTTCCTTCTTTTCTTCCTTCACTGTTTTGAAAACTCCTCTCCAGTCTTAATGAGTGTAATAATGGGGACCTCACTTGACCTCTAAGTGGCTCCCTCTCCCTGACCTTCAGGGAGGCAATGGAGGACATCAGAGAGCGCTGGGCTCCAGCCAGGCAGACCTGGGTTCAAACCCCAGCTGGACCACTTCCTCGTGTATGGCCTTGGGGAGGTCTGGGGTCCATGTCCCCATGTGTTATTGGGGCAATGATGTCTCCCTTGCAAGGCTGCAGTGAGAATTGGATGAGACAGAGATGCAGTGATGTTGCTGGTCATCTGAGTGACGCCTTCTGCGCCCACCAACTCTCCAACCTCAACTGGGTGACTCTATCCACCTGGAGTCAATGTCAGATTAAGGGCTCAGTCAAGTTAAGGGCTCAGCGCCACAGAACTCCTGATTCAGATGCCAGTCACGAGTCCTGAGCCCCCCATACTTCTGGCCAGCTGGCTGAAAATCTGGGGTTCTCATGACTGTCCCATCCCCGGGTTCAATAATTTGCTACAATGGCTCACAGGACTCAGGAAAACACTACTTCAGTGGTCTGGTTTATTATAAAGGATGTCAGTGAACAGCCAGTAGAAGAGGTACGTGTGGTGAAGTCTGAAAGGGTCCCAAGTCCATGACCCCGCATGTAGAGTTGGGGTGCATCACCCTCTTGGTATGTGGCTGTGTTCTCCCTAGAACATAGTTCAAAAGTTTCTATAACCCAGTTTCCAGCTCCCCTACTCTTCCCTGAGGTTGGAGAGTCAGGTGGAAAGCTCCCACTCTGTATTCTTGGTCCATCTAACAATCAGCCTGAAGTTCTCTCAGGGCCCCATGAGTCATCTTATTAAACTCTGATGTGGTCGGAGGGTTTATTATGAATATCAAAATGTACTCATATCACAGAGCCAGTTGCAGGGGTTTTATGAGCTCTGTGCCAGGAACCAGGGACAGAGACCATCTCTCATGATCATCTCTGAGGGAGAGATTCTGTGTCATGGTTTCCACTTTAGGCATCCAGTGTAGGATGAGTCAGGAAAAGAAATGCTTTCCTTCCTGACTCTGATCCAGGCCTCCTGCAGGGTGGAAGTGCTGTTTGAGAGTCAGGAGCTGCCTGGATGGTCATTAAAATCTTTTTATCCCCATAAAAGGAGGAATCCATATGGTAGCATTTGCTGCTTCAAGAAAAAGTGGTCACGTTTGACTATGGACAGATAGTCTGCACTGGGAGGCCCCAGGCCAGAGTTCAGGTAAGTAGTATAGGTTAAACAGCAGCAGGACTTCCACTTCAGGGGGCCTGGGTTCGATCTCTGGTCAGGGAACTAAGATCCCACCTGCCGCATGTTGGGTGGAAATCCATGCAGTGTGAGTAAGCCATCCCAGTGCAAGGTGAGCTGGCCAGAGGAGCAAGCAGAAGCCCATCACAGCTGGGGGCCAGCAGCTGAGCTCACCAGGGCCGAGATCCCTGAAGGTGGCCCCAGGGCTCAAGAGGCCCGAGTGCTGGACGTGGTAGACAGCACCCCCCCCCCGCCCCCGCTCAGAGGACGGTGCCCCCACAGGTGCACGACCGCCTGGATCGCTACTGCTGCGGCTTCGAGCCCGAGCCCTCGGACCCCTGTGTGGAAGAGAGACTCCGAGAGAAATGCCGGAACCCCGGGGAGCTGCGGCTGGTCCACATCCTGGTATGTCCCTGGGTCACCCCAGACTCAGGTCTTCCTGTCTGTCCATCAGCAGACGCTGTTGGCGAGGGTCAGAGGTCACGTGACTCTGGTGTCACAATCCTGTTCTTTTCGGCAGCAGAACCCTTTGAATGTTTCCAGGAAGCCTTAATATATAGAAGGGACAAAAATGAAGCTTGGAGTATGTGGTTGAGGAGGGGATGGGCTGGAGGTAGTGTCACCAACCCCTCTGTTCCCTAAAGACGCCAAGGACACCCTCGGGTCCTGGCAGCTGAGTGTGGTATGTGTGTATCTAGTAGGGCATCCTCACTGTGCCAATAAACGTGGAAATTGTGACCTGGAGCGGGGGAGGGGCCCTCCAAGGCTGCATGTCTAGTTGGTGGCAGTGACAGGGATCTGTCGTGGACCCTATTGGCTCACAGGCTGGGGCTGTCGGGAAACACTGCTTCCAGTGAAAACTAGAACCCAGGGTGGGAAGCCGTGTGCTGAGACCATCAGCGGGGGGCTGGTGGGGCAGAAGAGCCGCTGCTCCTGCAGGAGGAGCGAAGTACCACTCTGGGGAAGGGCTGCTCTGTCTCCCCCGGTGAGGTTGGTGTCCTCGCCGCCTCCCCTTGGCCGTGGAGCATCAGACGGTGGCCGGGACTGAGCGTCAGGCGGCCCAGCCTCAGGCTCCTCACCCCGTCCGTCACCAGAACAGGAATCAGTGCCTCCACTTTGTGGTTTCACCGGTGGTGCTGCCGCTTGGGGCTACGGGTCCAGGTTTGAGCCAACCAGCTATTGACTAGCTGTGTGACCTTGTGCAAATTACCTAACTTTTTTGCCTCTGTTTCTGTAAAATGGGTCTGGTATCAGTGGCCGTTCGCCCCAGGGTTGCTGGGCGGGTTCACCAGAGATGGTGCCCGGCCACCCTGAGCACAGGCCCAGGTGGAAAGAGCTCACTGCTCTGTGCGGTGGGGGAACCGACTGGGCCAGGAGCAGGGTGCATTGTGTGACTGACGGCTTAGGGGCCGCTGAGCCGCTCACCCTGACAGCACCCTGGGGCACCGCGTCCATCTTCTGTCTCTGTCCCTCTTCTTCCCCGAGGTGCGGAGCAGTGACCCCACTCGTCTTGTCTACGTCGATAACGCTGGCCACCTTCAGCATCCGGAGCACAAGCTGAACTTCCGGCTCCTCGAGGGCATCGATGGGTGAGCATCGAAGAGGCTGGGCAGAGGTTCAGGGACTGAGGTGAGGGGCCCTGTCATAGACCCCGCTTTCTTGAACCATGGCTCCCCAGAAGCCCACCGTCCAACAGATGGGAGCTGTTGGATGAGTCTCAGGAGGGTGTGGGGAGTCCTGGGAAAGCTAACAGTCAGTGGGCCCTTGAAGTCTAGGATGGGCTGCCCGCTCCCCGGTATCCAGAGCACAGCACGAGCTGCCCTGCCGGGGAGTGGGCAGGCTGAGCGGGCAGGCTCCCTTGCTTGGCAGGGCGCTGGCCGGGTGGCCACCTTCGCTGCTCAGTCCTGCCGCACCTCGGCCTTCCCAGGGCTCCTCCTCACTTTGCTCAGGCCAGCAGAGTGGATTCGCCCTCTGGGGGGCTGGGACCCATCGAAAGCTTCATCCCGTGTCTGCTGTCACAGCAGAGTGGGTGGAAGGGTCCCCGGACACCTAGTCAGCAGGCGGTCCCTGGGACTTTGTGGGTCCTCAGCTGTGCAAGTTCATGGAAACTCTCTAAGCCGGCTTTTGCCCTTCTTTTCTTTCCGGGGCTGGGGGACCTTCCTCCAGGTTTCCTGAGTCTGTCATGAAGGTTCTGGAATCAGGGTGTCTACAGAATATGCTGCTCAAGTCGCTGCAGACGGACCCAGTGTTCTGGGAAAGCCAAGGTGGGCGACAGGGCCTGCAGCAAGCCCTGCAGACCCTGCAGCAGCGAGCACAGGTCCTGCTGCACCACATCCGGACGCACAACCTGACAGTCTTCCCGGACTGAGGCCCGTAAGCCCCGCCCACCTCACCCCACGTCCAGGAGGGACTCTTAAGCCCCGCCCACCCCTCCCCCTCCGCGCCGGGAGGGACTCTCGCCTCACCGCAGGAGAGTCAGTCACTACACGACCTGAGGGGATAAGCGCCCATCCTCAGGGCCGCAATTTCTTGTGTTGAAAATGTCTCGAAGACAAAAGGGAAAAGTCAGAAACCAGGAGGGCACCATGGACGCCGTGGGATGTGTCGCATGCCTGGGCTGGTGGAGGAGGTGGTGGGGGTTGGATTTTCAATCTCTTCACGTTCCTTTCTGCCAGCTCAGCTGGCTGTTTACTCTCCTGCACCAATAAATACACAAGAATGTTCTATGAACTGCTCCAGATACTGTAAAGTCATGCATTGCACGTGCACACGCAGAGCTGGACACCTGTGTGTGTGTGTGTGTGTGTGTGTAGGTGTGTGGGTGTGTATTCATGGTAAGTGGACCTGCCCACATGCACACGTGATATGAGCCTCGTCAAGGGTCTTTACTGAATTGTACTTGTGACCCAGAACTGCTCTGCCTGAAAGTGAACTCAGCTCCTAGAGATGGAACACTGAGCCTTTTGTCTCTATAGCCTTTAGATGTTCCATTTTTGTTCATTTATGTTTTGGTTTAAGAATTGTAAAAGTAATACATGCTCACTAAAAACAAATCATAAATACTAGAAGCATATAAGATAAAAAGTGAGAGGGTCCAGAGGGACGTTACTTTGGCACTTACTGAGCGAACTTTTCAGCAGCCCAATCCTGCATTCTGTATTTGCCATCTAGTTGACCCAGTTCTCACTTATGACTGCAGCCATCTAGTTGACCCAGTTCTCACTTATGACTGCAGCGAACTCCCATGCAGGGGTGCATTATATTTCGTTTAGCTGTTCTCATCATGGTGAACATTTAGATGGCTCTAACTTTTCACCAATTCAGGACAATGCTGCCACAAACATCTTTGCATGATGTGCAGGTATTTCTGCCGGCTATATTTCCATGAGTGGATTTCTACATTAGCAGAAATGGGCTAATGGGCATTCTTTATTTGCAGAGAAACTGCCAAATTCCTTTCAAAATGGTGGTGTCAGTCTACATTCCTAACCAGAGGGTAGGGGACTAACTGTTTCGCTACACCTCATCATCACTTGATATTAAACTTATTGTTTTTATTCATCTGATAGGGAAAGCCATTTTTAATTTTTATTCTTCACTGAAGGATAGTTGGTTTACTATCCTTCAACATTGTGTTGATTTCGGGTATACAACAAAGTCATTCAGTCGCATATATTTTTTTCTTCAGCTTGTTTCCCATTATAGGTTATTATAAGATATTGAATATTATTCCCTGTGTTATACAGTAAATCCTTGTTGTTTACATGTTTTATGTATAAAAGTGTGTATCTGTTAATCCCAAACTTATCCCTCTCCATCTCCTTTCCCCTTTGGTAACCGTATGTTTGTTTACTGTATCTGTAAGTTTATTTACTGTGTCTGCTATGTTTACCATGTCTGTTTCTGTTTTGTGTGTAGATTCTTTTGTGTATTATTTTTTAGATTCCACATATAAATGATATAATATTTGTCTTTCCTTCTCTGGCTTACTTCACTAAGTGTAATATTGTCTAGGTCCATTTGTAGCTGCAAATGGAAATATTTCATTCCTTTTTATGTCTGAGTAATATTCCATTGCATTTATTTATCACATCTTCTTAAACCAATCACCTATTGATAGGCACTTAGATTTTTTCCATCTCTTTGCCTATTTGTAATCTTGCTTCTGTGAACACTAGGGTGCGTGTATCTTTTTGGATTATAATTTTATCTGAATCCCAGGAGTGGGATTGCTGGATCACATGGCAACTCTGTTTTTAGTTTTTGAAGACCCATGCTGTTTTCCATAGTGACTGTTCCAATTTACATTCCCACCAACAAGTGTAGGCAGATTACTGTTTCTCCTTGCCCTCTCCAGCATGTTATTTGTAGACCTTTTAGTGATGACTGTTCTGACTGGTGTGAGTGATATATCACTGTAGATTTGATTTGCATTTCTTTCTTTAATTATTAGTAATGTTGAGCATCTTTTCATTTGCCTCTTGGCCATCTATATGCCTTCTTTGGAGAAATGTTCTTTTAGGTCTTTTGCCATTTTTTGATTGGGTTTTTTTGTTGTTGTTAAGTTATATTAGCTATTGGTATATTTTAGAAACTAAGCCATTGTCAGTTGCATCATTTGCAAATATTTTCTCCTGGTTCATAGGTTGCATTTTCATTTTTTTTATGGTTTTCTTTGGTGTACAAAAACATAAGTTTGATTAGGTTGCATTTGTTTATTTTTGTTTTTATTTCTATTGGCCTGGGAGACTGACTTAAGAAAACATTGGTATGATTTATGTCAGAGAATATTTTGCCAATGCTCTCTTTAGGAGTTTTATGGTATCATGTCTTATGTTTAAAAAGGCTTCCCAGGTAGCACAGTGGTAAAGAATCCTCTTGCCAACACAGGAGATGGAGATGTGCGTTCAATCCCTGGGTCAGGAAGATCCCCTGGAGGAAGAAATGGCCATCTACTCCAGTATTCTTGCCTGGAGAATCCCATGGACAGAGAAGCCTGGCGAACTTCAGTCCATGGGGTCGCAAAGAGTTGGACATGACCAAGCAACTGAGCATGCAGGCATATATTCTGAATACAAGTTCAATATATGTTTTCAAATATTTTCTCTAGATCTGTGGCTTGTTTTTTCATGTTCTTAAGAGTGGCTTTTGAAGAGTAAAAGTTTTTTGTTTTGATTAGGTCCAATTATTAATATTTCTCTCTTAGATATTTTATAGGGTTTTACAAGTTGTTCTTCGAGAATATTGATACTTTTTTATCTTTCAAGTTTTTATGGTTTTTAACTTATTGGCATTAAATTATTCATAACTCTCCCTTATTTTAAAACTGTATTTATCTGATTGTGCCAGGTCTTAGCTCATTGTGGCAAGCGAGATATTTTCAGCTGTGCCATGTGGGATCTAATTCCCTGACCAGAGATTGCACCCAGGCCTCCTGCATTGGGAGTGTGGAGTCTTAGCCACTGGACTGCCAGGAAGTCCCAACTTTTGCTTATCAGTCTTTTAATAATTGTGAAATCTGTATGATGTCACCTCATAGTATTGGTAATCTTTTAATTTTTATTTTTATACTGCTCAGTTTTGCTAGAGGCTTACCAATTTTATTCATACTTTAACTGGTTTTTCTCTCTTGTTTTTCTGTTTTCTATTCCTATTTCTACCACTCTTCTGATCTATAATTTCCTTCTCATCTGCTTACTCTTGGTTTAATTTGTACTTTTTTTTTAAAGTTTTTCAAGGTAGACACTGAAGACATCAATTTGAAAACTTTTTTAAAAACACCTAGGCCTTTAGTGCTATAAATTGCTCTTTACTGTTAGTGGCATCTCACAAATTTAGAATGTTGGGTTATTGTTTTCATTCATTCATATTTTCTAATTTACTTTTTGATCCATGAGTTAATTATAAATGTGTTATTTAGTTTTCAAAAATTGGGGAATTTTCCCAGTATGTTTCCATCATTGGTTTCCAATTTAATTTCACTTTGGTGAGAGAACCTACTTTTAACGTGAATCCTTTTAAATTTATTAACTTATTTTATGCACCAATATATTGTCTGACTTGGTAAATGGTCTGTGTGCATTTGAAAAAATGAATATTTTACTCTTAGGGGGCATTCTTTAAATATCAGTTAGATCAAGTTGGTTTTCTTCTACATCTTTGCAATTAATCTTCTACATTTTTACTTATATTCAAGTCTTTTACATTGTCAGTGATTTTATCTTCTCTTGTTGTACTAATTATTCAGAAGGAGGTTTGAAATCTCTCAGCCCGGTGAGAGCTCTGGGCACTCTTCCCTCCAATCCCTTTAGGTGGCTCTTTCTTTGGCCTTTGGGAGTTTCCTCATACACATACACTGATCAATATTCAACCAAAAATTTAGGTGGGGACCCTCTCCTGAGCTCTGGAACTTTCTCCTTTTTTCCCCTTTATTGTTTTTTAAATTGAAGTATAACTGATTTACAGTGATTCAGGAATACAGCAAAGTGATATATGCATATACATTTTTTCTTTTTCAGATATTACAGATTATTACAAGATATGGAATCCCTATGCAGATGGTCCTTGTTGTTTATTTTATGTTTGGTCGTGTGTACCCATTAGTCCCCAGTTCCTAGTTCACCCCTCCCCCCGCCTTCCCCTTTGGTAACCAAGAGTTTATTTTCTCTGTGAAGCTATTCCTGTTTTGTCAATAAGTTCATTTGTGTCTTTTTTTTTTTTTTAGGTTCCACATATAAGTGATAGATTTGTCTTTGTCTGACTTCACTTAGTATGGTCATCTCCAGGTCCGTCTGTGTTGTTGCACATGGCATCGTTTCATTCTTTTTTATGGCTGGAACTCGCTCTGTTTGAGATCTCTGTTCTCCAGTACTCTGCCCTTTGAACTCCGGCTGCTCTGACTACCAGGACTTTCAGCTCTTTCAACTCAGAATTCAGCCTCTTTTTCTTTTCTTTGGCCCTGTGGGCTAGAAACTCTCCTTGTAGTAAGCTGGGGAAATCGTAAGCTCTGCCTTATTTTATTCTCTCTCAGGAATCACTGTGCATCATTAAGTATGCCTGATGTTTTCAAAACCACTGTTTCATATGTTTTGTCCAATTTTATAACTATTTCAGGCCAGGGGATAAATCCAGTCTCTGTTACTCTGGACTGGAGCAGAAATCCTAACATCAGCTCTTGACTTCGTGACTTCTCCCACTCCCTGTCCAACGGCTATTTTTTCTTTATTTTTTTAAAAAAACACGAAACTATCTCTTAAATTTTAAAGTGGGATTCCGTCACCTCCTAGCTTAACAGTCTTCAGTGGCCCCCAATGCTCCAGAATAGAGCACAGCTCACACAGCCCTGCACGGTATGTTTCATGCTCCCCT